ACTTATAATTATAAGTTGTTGTTATTGTTATAATGTGTTATTATGGATAAATTATTATAAATTATTAGTGATTTCATATAAAATAAATATATAAATACATATGAATATATATATGACTAAATATATATGAATAAAATAGAAACAGAAATATATATGAATAAATACATATGAAATATATAATGAAATATATAAAATATTCCATTTATTTGATTTATTATTTATATTTATCTGTATTTTTAGTTATAATTATAAGTTGTTGTTATTGTTATAACTTATTATTATGGATAACTTATTATAAATTATTAGTGATATCATATATAATAAATTTATTAATTTATTAATTACAAATGAATTATTTATTATGCTTATTAATTGCAAAATTAATAATTATAAGTTATTAGTTGCAATATTTTAATTACAATATTTTAATTACAATTTTATTAATTACAATTTTTAATTACAATTTTAATTGCAATTTATTAATTACAAATGTATTAATTACTTTGAACAAAAGTCTTCGAAACCTCTGAGTCTGAGAGGGGAAAATATTAAACTTCTCACCCCCCTCTTGTACCTTAAAAGAAGGAACAATTAATCACAATAATTGATAACAATAATAAATTATAATAATAGTCACATGATATTTTAATATTATCAAGATATTAGATCTTATTAATAATAGCAAGAAATCATCATTCAGTAGTTAATATATTAGTATAGTTATGTATTATATTTATTATATATTTATACCATATTATTATTATTACTACTACTACTACTATTATTATTTCTGAACAATTTTGATGACATTTGATACCATTTTTCCATTCATATTAAAGATATAATTCATATTCCAATTTAAGCAACTCTTTTCTTATAATGTTGGGATTTTTTAACTCACTTTCTTGTCTCTCTTTCAAACTTTTATGTTTCAATGGTAGAATTCTTTTTTTTCCCTCCTGTATTTTTTATGTCCTACGTTTTGGGGGCATTTTTATGATATTTTTCCATGGCTCTCCATACATTATTTATTGCAATAAATGGCTTTATGGCCCCCAAGTGCGCTGTAATAACGCTGGGAAAAATAACTTACAAGGGCAATAATCCCGGTTATGACTTCCCTGAAATATTCAGGAAGGGGTTTTTTTCAGGAGTTCCATCGACCTGGGACGTGGCAGAGCTTATCTGAAAGGCTGGGCTGGGATCTGTCTTTTTTTATTGGGGAGATTCTGAAGCACTTCCAAAACGCAGCTGAATTCCCAGCGCAGAGCTCCGGGACAAAGCTCTGGCCTGGAAAGGATGGTGGTTCAATCCCAAAACAAAAAAAAAATCCATGGAAACGTTCCCACGGGCTTCAGGGGGTTTTCAAACTGTCCCCGAGGACTCGCCTCAATTTAATGTCTGAGGAATTTTGGAATGACGGGAGGAGGAAATCTCAGGGTGGATTTGGCCGGAAAGCTTCTTCCAGACTATCCAGGGCTCAACTGATCCTTGGACTCAGCCTAAGCTGAGGTTACACTGGATAATCCTGGTCTTTCCAAGGTTTCTTTTCTTGCCCTGGATTTCAGGGAACAGCAATGGAAGCCTCCTTTACAAAGCCTCATCTCCTCCTTTAATCTCCATCGAGAGAATTTTTGGGTGAGTGAGGAGGGAAGGACAAACATCTGCCACGTCTGTTCGTCCCTTCTTTGCGTCGGAGAAACACAGAATTATTTCTCCAAACCCGAAGAAGACGAAATGTGTTATTTAACAGACGTTTAAAACGATCATTTGAACGATTTCTTCGCTTTTTTTCCTGAAACAAGAGACAAGAAATGACCGATGACTGGAAATCCATTTTGCCAGGTAGTGGGAATACACCGTGGCTTGTTATTCTGTTATTCCATGGGGGAAGTAAATGCCAATAAAAGGGATTATAAAGCAACATCTCTTTTCAATTAGGGCCCCAAAGTGCTGGTCAGAGTATTTCAGCTCTTCGAGCTGCACAAACGGGGTTTCCACATGCTCCAAACACAAATTATCCAGCTTTACACCCCCGGGTTTATGTAAATTAACGCCGTAAATATGCGAACGTTAACATGTAAAAGTTAAGGTTAAAATTTCAATTTTGATGTTAAAATGTTAAAATGGAAGGAAAGAAATTTCAATTTTAACGTTAGAATGTTCAAATGTAAGGAAAAAAATTCAATTTTAACATTAAAATGTTAAAATGGAAGGAAAAAATTTCAATTTTAATGTTAGAATGTTCAAATATAAGGAAAAACTTTCAATTTTAACGTTAAAATGTTAAAATGTAAGGAAAAAAAACCTTCTTTATTGCCAGGATGTCAAGCAGTGGAACGTGTTGGCCAGAGAATTCGTGGGGATATCCATCCTTGGAGAGACTCAAAACACAACTGGTTACTGAGCAACTTGCTCTAATTGAAATTGTGATAAAGGAGCCAGAATTCTCCTGCCTTCAAAAAACCTAAAGTTTTTTTGATTTGTTGATTTTTTTGTTGTTGTTTCGTTTCAAATTCTTCAGAATTTTAATTTGTTTAATTTTAATTTTAATTTTAATTTTAATTTTAATTTTAATTACTGCTGCATGGGAAGGGTGACCATTTGCCGTCCTTGTTCTGATTTGAAACAACTTCATGTATGTTTGTGTGCATATACACAGCTATTATATAGT